AATACTGTTTGAGTACTAGTTATAGCATTAAATGTCAATGTACAGCACACTAAGGACAAAGATCCTACATGAGGAGTAAGTGCACAGTGACTCTTGTTGTTGACTTAACAAATTGACACTCTTGTTTATGGCCTCAGTAATCACCCTAGGCTCTTGTCATGAGCTGCCAAGGCTATGGAAGCCCCCTGAGTTCACTGACTCTGATCATATTTAGACAAGGCCATGGTCAAAGTGGAAGTTCTCTCCTCCCTTCAGAGAAAGGTACCTCCTTCTTTGATGACCTGTTCTTTCCACTGGGATCTCACTCACAGAGATCTTTCATTTAGGTTTTTTTTTTCCCCAGAGTGTCTTGGCTTTCCATGCCTGGAATACTCTCATGGGCTATTCAGCCAGATCCGTATGCCTTAAGGGCTGATTCTGAGGCCAGAGTGCTGTTTAGGACATCTGCCGTTCTGTGGGTCTGCTGTGTATCTCACTTCCCATGTTGGATCATTCTCTCCCTTTTTTATTCTATCAGCTAGTATTTGCAGACACTATTCTTGTTTATGTGATCCCTTTGGTTCTTAGTCCTATCATTATGATCAATTGTGAACTGAAATTGATCACTGGGACTAGTGAGATGGCATTGGTACATGCCACCTTGATGGGATTGAATTCGAATCCCCTGGTATGTTTCTAACTCTACCGTTTGAGGTAAGTCAGCTTGAGCATGTCCCAAATTGCACATCTCTTCCCTCTCTTATTCCCACTCTTATATTTAACAGCGATCCCTTTTCAGTTAAGTTTCAGCACTTAAGAAGAATTGTGTATTGATTACAGTATTCAACCAAAGTATTAAGTAGAACAAACAAAAAAATACTAAGAGGGATAACATATCAAGTTGCTCATCAACAGTCAGGGTGAGGGCTGATCAAGTCACCGTTTCTCATAGTGTTCATTTCACTTTAACAGGTTTCCTTTTTGGTGCTCAGTTAGTTGTCACGTATCAAGGAGAACAAGTGGTATTTGCCCCTTTGGGATTGGCTTATTTCACTCAGCATAATGTTTTCCAAATTCCTAACAGGGATCACTTTCAGTTAAAATTTAAACACCTAAGAATAATTGTGTGTTTATTACAGAGTTCAATCAACAGTACTAGAACAAAAAAAAATACTAAAATGGATAAAGTATTACATTGTACATCAACCGTCAGGACAAGAGCTGATCAAGTTACTGTTTCTCATAGTGTCCATTCTTGGCTTCAGGTAGGCTCAGCTCCAGCCATTGCAGCCATTTGGAGAGTGAACCAGCCTATGGAAGACCTCTCTCTCTCTCTTTCTCTCTGCCTCTCTGTAACTCTTTCAAATAAATAAATAAATATTTTTAAAAATGATGTACTGACACTTGGTACAGCATGGATAAACTCTGTAAATGCTATGATGCTTAGTAAAAGAAGCCAGTCAAGAGAGATCATATATTGTATGATTCTATATATGTGAAATGTCCAGAATAGGCACCTCTATACACACAGAAAGTTATATTAGTGGCTGCCAGAAGGTGACATTGGTGGGGTGGGGAGGGAGAGGAGGTGGAAAGGGATGTTGAAAAAAAATGAAAAGTGACTGTTAACGGGTATCATGTTTGTTTTTTTGGTGACGGGTATCTTCTAAACCTGATATATGGTAATAGTTGCCCAACTCTAGTAATAATGCTAAAAGTCAGTGAACTGTATACTTTAAATTAGTTAATTGCATGGTATATGAACTGTATCTCAATAAAAGGTGTACCTGTTTTAAAAATAAGTCTAGCTTTCTCTCTCTCTCTTTCTCTTTCTCTCTCTTTCATAGATGCAAATATATAAATAAACATTTAAAAAGAAGAAGGGGTGGGTTAAACCACTGTTTGGGATACCTGCATCCCTTATTAGAGTTCCAGTTCAAGTCCTGGCTACTGCACTTCCATCCAGTCCAGCTTCCTGCTAATACATCCTGGAAGACATGGATGGTGAACCAGTGGAATGAAACCTTGCTCTCTTTCTCTGCATTTCAAATAAATTTAAAAAATTGAGATTTATTTATTTGAAAGGCAGAATAACAGAGAGAGAGAGAGAGCTCTTCCATCTGCTGGTTCACTCCCCAAATGGCCACTGGCCGCAACAGTCTGAGCTGGGCTGATCTGAAGACAGGAGCCAAGAGCTTCCGCTGGATCTTCCATATGGGTGCAGGGGCCCAAGTACTTGGGTCATTCTCCACTGCTTTCCCAGGCACATTATCAGGGAGCTAGATAGGAAATGGACCAGCCAGAACTCTGTCATCCATATGAGATGCTATGCCACAGCACTGGCCCCATAAGGTGTTTTTTTTTTTTAATAAGGCTCAGGTACAACTAGATTGGGATTCTATTTTCCCATTTGCCCTCTTGCTAACAAAACCTTTTTCTGCTCCCCTGTTGTTAGGACTGGCTCTCATTTCTTCTTCAGACTGTTACAGAAAAAAAAATCTGAAAATGGAGCAGATATGCCTCCAAAGTATTTCTGGTTTGTAATTTTTCTTTTTTAAAATTTCATTTAAGGTATGAAAATTTCATGTATTTCATGTATACAGATTTAGGAACACAGTAATACTTCCTACCCTGTCCTCCCTCCCACCTATGCCTCCACACTTCCTCCTCCTAACTCTCTTAGTCCCACTCTTAATTTTCACAATTATCTACTTTCTGTTTACTATATACTCATAAGATTAACCCTATACTAAATAAAGAGTTCAACAAATAGAAGAAAAAAAACACTATTCCTCATAATTTTCTAGAGATAGAATACACAAATGTAGATTTCAATTGCTGCTAAAGCCTTTTTTCCAAGTACCTGCCCCAGACAGAAAATATTATAACATTTTCATATGGTGGAATTTACTGAAACCATGACCTAAATACATATTTCTTGTACCCATTAAGAAAGACCAGATATCACTGAGGTTGTAGAGTTTCCTTGTTTGCAGCACTTTAAACACAGACCCATTATCCCCAGGTGTGGACTGTTTTGATTCAGACTGTGAGTAAAAGACCAGGAATGAAAGTGACCTGTCAGATAATCTGACAGCACAAACATTTGAACAACAACCACAGCAATGATTTGTTGTTTTGGAACACTACTTAGCCTTCACCAGTAGGGACACAAACAACTGTCTTTTCCGATTGATCATGTAAAATGGATATGATGAAAAATATGCATGTATTTCCGAACTTATTGCACCAAAATAAACTTGCCTTTTAATTCTATTTTTCATGAACATCTCAAAGTATCCACTATCCAGACTTTACATACTACCTATAAAGTCGATAACTCCTCAATTTATGTAATCAGCTCAGATCTCTTTTTTGAATGCCAGACTACTAAGTCAGACTGCCTTTGTGACATCTCCACATGGATATCTACTAGGTACCTTGAAAGTTAACAGGCACTAAAACAGACTTCTGAGAGACTCATGATTTTCCCCACAAATCTAGTCTTCCTTACAGGTATCCCCACCTCCAGCCAGGAAAATGTCTGCCATCACCTCACTCAGGTCAAAAACCTTAGTTTCATCCTTGACTCCTCTCTTTTTCTCATATCCCATAGACAAACCATTAGTTCTTTTAAAAGACATTTATTCATTTGAAAGACAGGAGAGAGAGAGACAAAGAAACTAGAAACTCCATCTGGGTCTCTCACATGGGTGGCAGGGACTTCAGTATTTAAGCAATGACCCACTGCCTTTCCAGACACATAATAGGAAGCTAGATGGATGCATAGTAGCCAAGACTGGAACTAGGACTCCGAAGTGGGAAATAGACATCGCAAACCCATGAGCCACCATGCCCGCCCCACTATTAGCAAATTCTTTTGGCTCTATCTTCAAAACACTTGTGTATCCAGCATCTGATCCCTAAACATCACCTCTATGACTACCTCTTGGTTTCCAGCTGCCATCACCAATCCTACTAGCCTACTTATTGATTTCTTATTGTCTACCTTAAATCCATTCTCTACACAGCATCAAGGGGTAAACTGTTAAAACATAAGTCACTCCTTTGCTCACAATCTTCTAATAACTTCTTATGTGATTCAGGGCAAAAGCCTAAGTCTCTACCAAGTGCTCGCTCGATCTCTCCCTCTCCCTCTCTCTTGCCCACCCCCACACATGAATACATTCACTATGTTTATTATTATTTTTTCTTACAGGCAGAGTGGACAGTGAGAGAGAGAGACAGAGAGAAAGGTCTTCCTTTGCCGTTGGTTCACCCTCCAATGGCCGCCGCAGCCAGCGCACCGCGCCGATCTGAAGGCAGGAGCCAGGCGCTTATCCTGGTCTCCCATGCGGTGCAGGGCCCAAGCACTTGGGCCATCCTCCACTGCACTCCCGGGCCACAGCAGAGAGCTGGCC